CCCGCCCCCTTTGCCCACCCGGTGCCCGGGTGCTGGAGCTGACTCACCAGCTCCAGGATCCAGGCACCGCCACCGCCATGCTGCAAGCCTGGGAGGGAGGAGGAATGCTGGGGAAGAGGCGGGGCCAGGGCAGGGATTTGGGGAGAGAGCCAATGGGGGAAGGAGGGGGCGGAGCCGGGGCGGGGGGGGCCCGAGCGCCGGAGCGGAAGGGAAAATTTCTTCTTTGTCCAGTGTCCCGACCAAACATTGGTCGGGACGCGGGACAAAGAAGCAAATATCGGGACAGTCCCGATAAAATCGGGACGTCTGGTCACCCTAGTAGGCTCAGAGTCAGTCTGCCCTGGCAGTCGAGATTGGCAGCACTAGGACCCTGCGGCAGCAGTTGCTGCAAGGAGGCAGCATGAAGCTGCTCTGCTCCGGGATTGGGGAGGGGGGAGCAAGTCAGGGCCGGGGGACACTCGGGGGGAGGGGCGGCAGGTGGGTGGGTGGGGGCGGCAGATAACCTGGGTTATAAATATATCTGCTTTTTTTTCTTTTTCTCCACTGCTTTCTGCGCCCCCCGGCTTTGTGTGCCTGTGGCAAGTGCCTCACTCGCCTAGCCCTTGTTACGGCACTGCTCCCCAGTGCTGCCCTGACTCCCTGGTGGGAGCCCAGCTCTGGCTTCTGGCCTGGCCAGGGGGCAGGGCGTCGGGGGAAGAGGAGCAGGGGTGGGGCCACTAAGAGGTGCCAGCACGGGGAGGAGGATGCAATCTCACCCTGTCTGTGTGCTCCTAGTGGTTGCCCTCTTTTTTTCTCCAGTGCAGATGGCAGAGTGTCTGGAGGGGGAAAGGATAAGAGAGGTGAGATTTCAGGCTTTCATATTTATAACAGCATCCCCACTCTGAACTCCTAGAACTGTGTTTTCATATGACACAGAAACAGACAGAGACACACTCAGGTATTTAATGTAAAATGGTCTGAACCCTTCTCTTTCCTCTCTCATTCAGGCACCTCCCAGCATTGGAACCAACATCCTTGCAGCCTCACAACCATCCCAGGACATAGAGTCTGTAAGTGACATTTACTTTTCCCCTCATTATCCCCTCTCACCCTTCAGACCCCAGTTGGTTTGTCTCATTCACTTGCTGCACTTTGTCATAACCTAGACCCAGAGCCTGCAAAGACTTTGGCATAAAAGTTACTTTACCCACTTGGGTCCCTTTGACACTAACGAGAGGTTGAAAGTTTCCTAAATCCTGGCTCTAATTGTGAGCTGTTGGGTCTGTTTACTCAGCGTCTCTACAGAGAGCAGCACCATGGGGCCTTGTCCTCCCTAGGCAGAAATAGGAATAATAATAAAATCATTTTATCCATGTGCAAATTGAGGAAGGGGGAAGGTTTCCATGGGCCAAAAGGAGAGAGGGGAGGGGCAGTTTGTGACTCTGCTGTTCTGTGGCTGCAGGGGCCGGTGCAGACCTTGGCACAGGCTGAGGAAGTTCTGAAGCCAGCCAGAGTTACATCCCTATGACAATGGCCCCCGTGTGTCTTGCCCAGTGTGCAGAGTGTCAGAGGCCCAGCTTTACACTGCTCACGTCCCTCTGTCCCTCATCCACCCCCTCCTCTTCCACCCGCCCTCACCCCTCCCCCACCCCATTCCCAGCCCTCTCAGGAACACGCCTTGTGCCTGCAGCTGCTGGGGAGGAGGCACAAAAGGCTCCTGTGCTGGAGGGATCCCTCGCTGTGGGGGAGGGGCTTTCTCCTTCCCTCCAGCCCATGTGCCCAGACTAGCTGCTGTACGGGACCAGAGCACAGTGAAGAGCTGGGTCCAGATTTTAAAAGTGGCCTTTAATTTAGGTTCTAGATTTTGGGCGCTGACCTTTAGGCCCCTGGGGCCTGGTTCTCAGAGGGGTTTGGGCACCTGCAGCTCCCACTGACTCCACCTGCAGCTGTGGAGGCCGACAGCTCTGGAGCACCTGCCCTGCAGCTCTCTAGTTGGGAGAGAGAAACTCAGGTGCCCCAAATTAGGCCTTTTTGCTAAATTGGGGCCTGAATGTTGTTATCTTTGGTAAGTCATGAATGGCTGGGCCTGGGCCCTTGCTCCGTTTGCTCCATTTGTCCACTTTTCACTAGTTATTATGTTAAGTATCGAGAATGGGTGCAAGGGTCATTTCTTATACATAAGGTTCGATACTGACTGACTTGACTTTGGCCTGGTGAGCAGTTTGCTTGACATAAGGGAAATGTTGCCTTAAGTGACCTTGCTATTAAGTGATGTGTCCATAAATTGCTATGTGGGATAAAGAGATGTTTTGACCACCCAATGTGCTTAAAGACAACAGACACCCAAAATGTGCTGTCAAGGGGTAGTTACCAAAGTCAAAAAAATCCCTTGTGGAGAGAAGGGTCAAAGTGACCCGTGCACATCAGTTTGTAATGACTGGTAATGAACAAATCAGAAAAGAGAATAACTTGAAAATAGCTTGGACAGCAAAAGTCCTGCCAATTAGTAAGTTCATTCATGTGTAGTGTATGAGTTATACAAGATACTTACTATGCATAACAGACAAAGGTGATTGGAAAAGAACTAACAAATATATAATCTGGATGCGTATAAGATGTCAGACATTGTAAGGGGTAGTCAGAGCATCATAGGAAAAATGCATCATGACCTGCCTATGCCCCAGGAGAAGGTAACGGGGCAGTATTTCTTTCGGTATGTCTGTCATTTCTTATTTTAACAGTAATTGTAATGGCAAGACATGCTTTTGGAACAAATAAGGGGTTGAATTAATCAATCTGATTGTCTTGAACCCCAAACGCGTGGCATTCTCATCCAACAGTTAAATAGAAGCATAATCTAATTACGAACCAATTGACCAGCGCCATTCTTTTCCCACAGTCTCAAACACTGATCCCAATTTCCCCTCCTAGATCCCTTCTAGGTACCTTTGAACTTCCTCAGAGCCTCCAAGAGCACAATCGTTTTCTGGGAGAAATCACTGACTTGCTCTTCCAGCTCAGGAGAAATCTCCTCTGGCTCCTGGAACTTCCCCTTCTCCCACCTGGAGAGAAACAATTTCACGTGATTATATTTCATTTAGTGACACATTATAAGTTGTTGCTAGAGCGTCACTGCTGTAATGGGCCTGGAGTTAGAATTCCTCTACTTCTCCCAGCCTGAGATCAGGGGCGACAAAGCCCATGGCAGTGCAACCTTAGAACATACATAAGAATGGCCGTAATGGGTCAGATCAAAGGTCCATCCAGCCCAGTATCCTGTCTACCGACAGTGGCCAATGCCAGGTGCCCCAGAAAGCCTTCCCCCCCAAAGGTCCCATGAATGTTCTTCAACTCTGGCCTGGAGAGATCAGCTCTGGAGATAAAAGGGGAATTGAGTCTCCATGTCCAATTCACTGCATGGCCTCCATGCTCTGAGGGACAGGAGGTTCCCAGGTGAAGTGCTGTAGAAATCTGCCCGCTAGGAGCTAGACTGAGACACCAACTCCCCCTCCCCAGCTCATTCCACACAGGTCCCAAACAGTCCTCAGGGGGAAAAGACTCTTGATCACTGCTGCCCTGGGCTGAATGGTAACCAGTAACCTAGCAGTGAAAGGCTCCATCCTCACTATCCTGAGGCAGCCAGTCCTCCCGGGATGTGACATCTCTGGAAAATACTTTAGGTCAGTCCTTCCCACTGAATGGATAATTCCAGAATCTTCTGTGCAAGGGTGAGAACCGCAGGATGAAGCTGATAAGAGAGATTTGTATCCAGAATGTGACCTTCCACACACATTTTGCTGGAGAGCCCATCACCATCAAGCTCTTTCCCAGCATTGTGAAGTGGTGTGAAGGGGAGGGAGAGAGAGTCACGTACCTGCTAAAGGTGCTTCTGACATCCTAGAGGGGAGAGAGATAGAGAGAGGGGAAAGAATCTCAGTCCCATTTGACGCACACAGGGGATCCCAGGGAAGGGATTTTGCAAATATGAGGAATAGAGGCCCTGCCCTGGCCCCAGGACCATGGATTCCCTGAGCTAATGGGGCTTTTCCATCTCTAATATCTATGTGTCTGTAACGCTCCAAAGAACAATAGTCATTCGCATGTCAGGAATGCACACGCCGACTGCTGGACTCCAGTGCTTATGATTCAGGAGCCCTTCCTTCCCGGTGTGGGGATCTGGGATGATTCTAACCACAGGCACCAGCTTCCAATTGTCCCTGGGGGTGATGAACCCCAGCACCCGCCTCCACTCCACCCCTTCCCGTATGGCACACCTCCGTGGCTCTTCCCACGCCCACGCCCACTCCACCCCACCTCTTTCTGCCCCCTCCCTCATGCACACCCCATCCACGCTCCTCCCCCTCCCTCCCAGTTCCTGCTGCACACCCCGGAACAGCTGATTGAGGCTGGTGGGAAGCGCTGGGAGGGAGGGGGAGGAGTTGATCGGCGGGGCTGCCGGTGGGCAGGAGGCACTGAAGGGGGAGAGGGGGAACTAGCTGCCGATGGCATCCGCAAAAAAATTTCTGTGGGTGCTCTAGCCCTTAAGTACCCACGGAGTCAGTGCCTCTGTTTCTCCCTCAGTCTCACCTGCAGGAATTCACTTGCTGGCTTCTGACACTTCCCCTCCATCTCACTGATCAGCTCACTGAGATGGGAAATCTGCTTGGAGAGTTTACTGACATTTTCATTCTGGATCCTCACAATCTCCTCGTCCAACTTTTCCAGCTGGGCCAGCAAGAGTCGCTCTTTTTCCTCCAGGAACCGCCGCAATTTCTGAAATTCAGACACAATCTTCTGCCTCTCGGTTTGTGTTTGTTTCTGTAGGAAATAGGGAAAGGGCTGGTCAGGGACATGAATGGCACCTGGGGTCCTTTCATGGAGCACTGAGTGTGCAGGAGGGAGAAATTTGTTGAAAATCCTGATTTCTGACATTTGACTTTACCCTAGGGAGAGGATTCTCTCACAGCTTCCCCTTCAGCCCCTATATCCCTGAAAGGGAGGTTTCCATGTCTGTCATGGTCAGCATATTATGTTGTTCATGGCTTCTGGGAATTCAGACCCAGAGCAGCAGGAGGCAGGACTCAGCATTACACTGACAGAGACACCAGGGGAGAAAAAAGAAACAAACATGTTAATGCACGAAATGACCAGACACAGCAGAGAGCACTTCAAGGGTGATGTTCAGTTCACTTGGGGGGATTTCTGGGAAAGCCACAAGAGCTAGACATTAACTCGTTGGCTGAAATGAAAGCTTAGGGCTTGTCTACACATTAATCTAGCCCAGTGAGCATGTCCATTTTCACCAAGACCACACAGGAGTCTGGCTCCAAACAGACCTCCCATTGCCAGTCCCTGCTGGTTAATAACAGGCACCTACCAGATATTCCTGGCGTTTCCCCTCTCCAGCCACTTTAAATCCCAGCAGCTTTTCTCTCTCTTCCCGCAGAGCCTTCAAATGGGTCTGGATTTTTTCCTGAAGAAACAGAAATGATTTGGGAGATTTTATTTCGAGGGTTGGGAGGGGTGTGGAGCTGGATGTTTTTCTACCAAAACCGCAGAGGTGACTGTTGGTCCTAGTAGCTTTGTGACATCAGGACCACCAAAGAGATGAAACCTTATCTATGCAGATTGGGAGTTCGTCATATTCAGACTCGTTACCAATTCAGGTTCAGTCTTTTTAGTAATTAGACAGAGATCTCAATTATAAACAAGCTTTATTGGTATTTGTGAATTGATTAGTAGTGTAGTGCATAACAGGACACTGGAATCACATGGGGGTGAATCAGTGAACCTGTTTTTGAGAAGGTTTAACGAACAAAGTGATACAAATCACAGAAGCCACCAGGGTTTCAATATGGGCTGGGATTTCATCCCTGAAGCCCTGGGGATGGCACTGGTTAGACAGAGCTGGCTTAAGCACCAGGGCAAACCCCATGAGACATAGGGAGGCCGTTCGTCTGGTTTGAAGCTGCGCAGTCCCAGTTTTGTGGAGCACTATCCCTGTCCGGTAGGGACCCAGCACTAGACGTGTCTTTGTCCGGTGAAAAAGAGAGAGGAGGAGACCGAGGATGCAGGAGGATACCAATGGGGGCAGGGGCAGGGTTGCCAGTGGCACTTCCATGCAGAATGATGCAGGTGGGGGTGTGCTGACAAAGGTGGAGGTGGGCCCACGCAGGCTGACCAATTCAGATGCGGGAGGGCCCATGCAGGCAGGTGTGGGGATGTCCTATGTTCTGGGGATGCCTCAGTGGCCACCCTAATTCGACAGGCAGATTTGTATAAAGAACGATTGGGGTTTGCCCTAGTGCTGTTCTAAACCTTTTCAGTGGCAATGTGCTCTGGGTAGGTCCCCACTTGCCCATTCCCTAGTAAAGATCCTGGAAGCAATGGATTCTGGGAGATTTCAAAAGGCTGCATGGTGTGGCTAATGGAACCACTTTGGCTGGTCCTTGCCCACGTACACACTAGAACAAGTCAGACTGGCACCGGGTCAGCTCCAGCCTGGGGTTAGTTTTGCTACAATCCAGTGTAATCTCAGTGGTACTTGGCATGGACCTGCACTGTCTGGATTCTTTTGTGTGTGTCTTCAAGGTGCTTGGAGGCCACGCAGCGTTTAGCCCAGTGATCTCCTCTAGTGCAGGCCAGTGGCATCTGAGTTTAACCCTTCATGGAGCAACACAGGAGTTCAGAATCCCAGTGGGAAACTTTCTCTCCCTGCTGGGTCTGGGGCCTTTATCAAGGAGTCTTTTCCTCCTACTGTCCACACTTCATCACTGCTCAGTGCTGCTGAGGGGGGCAGCGTAGCCTAGTGGTTAGGGCAATGGGCTTGGCCTTGGAAAAGTGGGGGTTTATACCCAGCTCCACCACTGACCTACTGAGTGACCTTGAAGAAGAAAGTCACCTCCCCTCACTGTGCCTCAGTTTCTCCTCCCACCCTTTGTCTGTCTTGTCCAGTTACACTGTAAATGACTCTCACATAGACTGGCCTCAGCTCTTGTGAATCAAACCTCACTGGTCATTTAATAACTTCCGGTCTGCAGAGACTTCTTAAGATTTATGGGGCACTACGCAGTATTATTAAACGGGTGCCCCTATGCCCGATGGCAGCCCCAGCTCGCAGCCCGGCGGGGGGGTGCCTCACAGTGGCAGAGAGTCACAGTTCCCTGCAGAGACCCCCGTACCCTCTCCCTCACGCAGAATGGACATGCAGAAGGTACCTAATTAAAAGCACTAAACTTGGGAATAAAAAATGTCAGTCACAGATTTTTTGATATGTCCTGAAGTTTGTCAGACATTTATTTGCAAAAACTTTGTAATAAGGGCAAGTCAGCTGTCTTGCTGAATACAACATTAAAT